TTCCTTGAGGACTAAGGTGCATCTGACACAAGCCATGGTATCTTCAACCGCCTCATATGCATGTGAGAGCTGGACAATGAATAAGGAAGACCGAAGAAGAATTGATGTTTTTGAGCTGTGGTGTTGGCAAAGAATGCTGAAAGTACCATGGACTACTAAAAGAATTAACAGGTCTGTCCTGGAGGAAGTGCAGCTGGAATGCTCCTTGGAGGCGAGAATGACCAGACTTCGTCTCACATACTTTGGTCATGTTGTCAGAAGGGACCATTCCCTGGAGAAGAATGTCATGCTTGGTAAGGTGGAGGGTCAATGAAAGAGGGAAAGGCCTTCCACAAAATGGATTGACACGGTGTCAGTGGCAATGGGCTCAAGTATAGCAAGGATCATGGAGCTGGCGCAGGAACAGGCAGTGTTTTGTTCTGCTGTGCAGTGTTTTGTTCTGCTGTGCATAAGGTTGCTATGAGTCAGAGACGATTCAGTGGCACCTAACAACAACAATAAATATTGGTTAAGCTACAGTGCTGAATAGATGAGGTCTCTGCTTTCTTTGAGCTTACACTCTTAATAGAATAATAATATTGTTGTTGTGTGCCATCAAGTCCATTCTGACTCATAGTGACCCTATAGAACAGAACTGCCTCAGAGTTTCCAATGCTATAAGCTTTACAGAAGCAGACTGCCACATCTTTCTCCTGAAGAGCAGCTAGTGGGTTTGAACCACTAACCTGTTGATTGGCAGCCATATGCTTTACGCACTGCACCACCAAGGCTCCTTAAAATAATTTTTGTTGTTGTTGTTATGTGCTGTTGAGTCACACCTGACTCATAGTGACCCCTCCTTGGGTTTCCAAGGCAGTATCACTACGGAAGTAGATTGCCCAACCTTCCTTCCGAGGAGTGGCTGGTGGGTTTTAACCACCAGGCTTCTGGTTAGCAGTGAAGTGCCTTAGGCACTAAACTACCACAGCTCCTCCTCAAGAGCATAACAACTATAAAACATTTAAAAAACAAAAACCTGTTGCTGTGAATTCGACCCTGACTCATGGCACCCTATGTGTTAGAATTGCTCCATAGGTTTTTCTTGACTATAATCTTTATGGAAGCAGAAAGCCAGGCCTTTCTTCTGTGGTATGCTGGCTGGGATTGAACTGACAACCTTTAGGTTAGTACCAAAAAAAAAAAAAACACTCACTACCATCAAGTCGTTTCTGACTCAAAGTGACCCTTCCTTGGGTTTCCAAGGTGGTATCTCTACGGAAGTAGATTGCCCAATCTTCTTCCTGAGGAATGGCTGGTGAGTTAGAACCACCAGTCTTCTGTTTAGCAGTCAAATGCCTTAGGCACTATGCTACCAGAGCTCACAAACTGTGTGCCACCCCAGGACCTTAGTCACATAGAATACTGAAGCTCTGCTGTCATATAAAGGGACCATCTCCCTCTCCCATGTCAGCTTACATTTGACACTAGGGGAAAAGATTAAGTAAGCAATAATATTATTCATTAACAACAAGTAAAATTTTGCTGAAAATAATTTTAAAATGGTACATCAACAGGAAACTGTCAGAAGTTCAAGCCAGAGTCAGAAGAAGTCATGGAACAAGGGATATCATTGCTGATGTCCGAAGGATCTTCACTGAAAGCAGAGAATACCAGAAAGATGTTTACCTGTGTTTTACTGAGTATGCAAAAGCATTCAACTGTGTTGATCATAACAAATTATAGATAATATTGCGAAGAATAGGAATTCTAGAACACTTAAATGTACTCGTGTGGAACCTGTATATAGATCCAGACACAGTTATTCAAACAGAGCAAAGGGATGGAAAGATAATATTAAATTCTATGCATTTTGACTTTTCAAATTGTGTTGTTACAGTGCTGAAAATAAAGATTTTATCAGCTCATGATAAAGGCTCCCATGCTGAGGTCAATGTGAAGGTAAAAAAAGTCTTAAAATCTACCAAACTGAAGATTTTACGAGGAAAGAGAACATTGTATCCAGAATCGTGGACTAACAGAGGCTGCACTTGTCCAATCCTCAATCCTGGTGAGTATTAAACATTTTCATTTTAATACCTACCCTGTCTCTGCTAATTTGCTGCTTGTCTTATAATCTCTGAACCACAACCTAAAAAATCTCAGCAAAAGCATCTCTCATTTTATTATTTGAATTCTGAATAAAATCCAAATGAAATTATTCAAACTAGTATGAAAAATTATTTCTCTTCCATGTGCTCTATAAAAGTATAATAGTTTAAAACCCAGCAATATAATACTCTGTCCTAAAAGTGAAGTCTCATATTGGTGTCAGATGCCAGCAGCACAGACAGGACTTTCATAAATTGATCTGTCACTAATACTTTATCTCAAAGTTAGTTCTTATTTCAGTGCCCTGGTAAAGCCTGCTCCCAAAGGAAGTTCAAATGCAAAATTCCATCTGTGCAAATACTGAATTCATTTTTACTATTGCATGAGAAGCATCTGTTTCTCCTGGATAAAAAACGGTTCTCAAGTTCTCATCATCTTGTTTCACATTAAATGATCATTTTGTTTTCAAATTAGAAACAGCATAAATAAACAAAGAAAACCCTGTAGAATCTTAGAGAAACTCAGGATGGACGGAAATTTGATTTGCACCTTAAAGTGTTATTGCAGAGATAGAGACACCTTTGCACTTTACCAGTATACTCATCAAACTGGGTCATCTGCTGCCTATTTCTTTATCTTACCTCATTAAATCTGAGGATAGGACTTAGATTTTTGATCATAGTACTACCAGTACCTACCATTAGTACCCAGATTAGAGCAGTAACATAGTATCCAGATAATAGGTTCTTGGAAAACAAATAAAAATTCTCAAAAAATTCTTTGTATTTCTGCTTATGTAGTTGTCGTCTCTGTCTTAATGACACTGATGAAATGGGGGGCACATACTTTATGTTCTGATTAGAGTTCCTTCCAAATATTTAATTTAAGAAACCAGAGTTGTGTTAATAAGTCTTTTGTGTTCTTTGATTAATAAATATGAAAGAAACAAACAGGTAATAAAGAAAAGAAACTTTCAGTAAAATATACCCCAAATGTGAATGGTGATAAAAACTCTTGCTTTTCTCTGACTGTTGACTGATCTCTCACACCATTTTCTACTTCTTTCAGTATTTTAATTAATTTAATTTTAATAAAGAAAAGGAAAAAAGGACACTTTAAATCATAATATACATATTTGAAAAGGAAACTTCAAATCATAATATATATATATATATAAGTTTTTAATAGAGTTCCCAAGAACAAACTAAAGTAAGCAGAATCTTGGATTTTGAATACAGGAAAGTAAGAATCATTAATTTACATACTTATTTCCCAATGACGTATGCTTAGGGACTTTGCCTGTAGTCACTTCTCTACTACCTTAGCAAAGGTTTTTGTTTTTTTTTAAAAGCCTGCCCAGTTTTTGAGTAAGACATTAAAAAACAAAAGCTTTGACCATCTGAGCCACCCTCCAGGAAGTGAACTATACTTCCTAATCAGGTTTCTGCCAAACGCAGTCAAAGAATCAACTGAGTTCATCACAATTGAAAACACAAGTGCAATTATTCAAAGAATTCTTGAAAACATGTTTACTTTCTGTGAAGAAAAGACTGGAACCTGCCAAACCAAAACCAGACACTCTTTCATTTTACTTTATTTTTCCATTTTTACAAGTTAAATAGCTAAGGCTAAAGAAAGCTGATAAGAAAATTCTGCAACCTTACATACCCAATTGCTTCCTTTGCTACTTTTAAAAAGGAGCCATCTAATGGGCCACCCCTACATATTCATTCATTCCTATATTCACATACACCTTCACTCACCTACCAGTCTTACATTTTAGAATGCGAAGGATAGTCCTAAAGTATTATATTTGCCTTTTTGATGGATACAAAATAAATTTTGTATATTCAAACATGTAGCAAAGGATATGAAAAGTAGCACAGAGATGGCAAAATCCAATGTAAATACTAATAAGAGATGCAACAGAAAAACACTGTGTTACATGTTAATTTTTAGCATGATGCTGCTCCATAATTTATGGATTTATTCAACATCATTTTTATTAGTTTGATTTATATTTATACTTGAATGGTAAATTCCTTTGGTATTTGTTTTACTCATGGTTTCAAAGTACACTCATTTAAAATACCAGGTGTAACACTAAAGTTTTCTAAAAATCATTTATTATATTCTTCAAATGAGAATTTTTCATCTTAGAGATGACATAAACAATATCAAGACCACACTATATTGTTAATTAGTCTGTTAATTAAATATTAGGATCATTTTTTTGAGGCAGAAGCAAAGGCTATACTATAAAGAATATAAATACCTTATAATTCTTACACTTTTCTTTCTGGTGTTTGAAACTTCTCTATGTCATTATTTTCCTTTTATGAACTGTGGTAGCTAATTTTAAAGTTAGGACTGTTTTCTTTTCAATGTTTTAACTATAGGAGGTATGCAGAGATCATCTCTGTTAGCATCTTAATCTAAATCTTTCCATATGTTCTCTGTATATTATATTTTTAACAAAATAAAATCATACTATAAACTTCTGCAACCTGCTATATTCAATTAATGATCTTGACCTTCAATTTTACTTTATTTTCATGTTATCTAATGCTGTTATGTGCCGTCAAGTTGGATCCGACTCATGGCAACCCCTCCTTGGATTTCTGAGGCAGTATCACTACGGAAATAGATTGCCTAGCTTTCCTTCCAAGGAGTGGCTGGTGGGTTTGAACCGCCAGCCTTCTGGTTAGCAGTCAAGTGCCTTAGGTACTACACTAATATTCAGGCCATATTCCAGTTTCCCAACTGACCCAAAAATGTCCCTTATAGCTGTTTGTCCATATTAGTCAATCTGGGGCCACACATTGTATGTAGTGTTTAAGTCTCTCAAGTCTCTGATTTTATCACAGTTCCTTCCTTATTGAAACCAGGCCAGGTTCCTATAGATTATTCTACCTTTTGTATCTATCTGGTTAATGTCTGTTGGTATCATTTAGTTTGGTCCTGTATCTCCTATATTTCTTGTAAACTCTAAGGAAAATCTGAATGGATTCAAGATATATATTTTCACCAAAATTCATGATAGATATTGCTGTGTACTTCAAGTTGAATCACATAGTTCCTGGTTAACCCACCAGCACTGTTGCGACGCTTGACTCTTGCATTAGACTGATGACAATCTGATCCCTCCAATAAGCAGTTTTGTTTTTTCCTTTTGAGACTGGAAAACAGTGGGTGTGGTGTTACTTAGTCACTGTGTTGCTGTTGTTGTTATGTGCCATTGAGTTGGACCTGACTCATAGTGACCCCTCCTTGGTTTTCTGAGGCAGTATCACTATGGAAGTAGATTGCCCAACCTTCCTTCCGAGGAGTGGCTGGTGGGTTTGAACCGCCACCTTCTGGTTAGCAGTCAAGTGCCTTAGGCACTACACTACCAGAGTTCTTTTAGTCACTGTACAATATCCAAATTCCCATTAACCATTTATTTAATGCTTTTTACCACCAATTAATAATCTTTTCCTGAATCAATAATTTCATTAGAGTTTGAGAAATTATATTTTTCTGTCTAATTGTCTTCACTTATTAGCTAACATTATTCAGTAAGGTAGGAGTTTCTCTCTCTGGCTGGGATATTGCTGTTCTTGTTGTTAGGTGCCATCAAGTCAGCCTGACCCACAGTGACCCTGTACAACAGAATGGAACATGGCCCAGTCCTGCAGCATCCTCACCATTTTTGCTGTGCTTGAGCCATGATTGCAGCCACTGAGTCAATCCATCTTGTCCAGCATAAAAGCTTCCCTTTTATGCTGACCTTCTGCGTTACCAACATGATATCCATGTCCAGGGACTGGTCTCTTCTGACAACATGACCAAAGTAGGCGAGATGAAGTCTGGCCATTCTTGTTTCCAAGGAGCATTCTGGCTGTACTTCTTCCAGGATAGATTTTTTTGTCCTTCTGGCAGTCCGTGGTGTTTTTAGTATTCTTCGCCAACACTACAATTCAAAGGCATCAACTCTTCTTCAGTGTCCCTTATTCATTGTCCAGCTTTCACATGCATATGAAGCGATTGAAAATACCATGGCTTGGTAAAATGTCATCCCGAAAGTAATGAACACCTATAACAGACAGACTGGTCTTTAATAACATATCTACACACATACCCCAAAACAGCACTCACCAAAATAGCTGGGATATTAGGTTAACATAAAATACAGTTCCTATTGTAAAGGCAGGATGAACACTAAATTGTTCCTTTTCATTTCCAGTTCTCAAAGTAAATGTTTTTAACAGCTGCCTCAAAAAATCACAAATTAATTTTTCTCTGCTTTTCACTTTTTTGAGTTGTTGTTGTTGTTGTTATGTGCTGTTGAGTCGGACCCAACTCATAGCGTCCTCTCCTTGGGTTTCCAAGGCGGTATTACTATGGAAGTAGATTGCCCAACCTTTCACTTCGGAATTATGACTCAATATCCATTGAGTCATTATAGTGTGTTTCAATATACACAATTATTATGTTCTTATTCAAATCATCACTTCATCAAGTTATAACCCCTTCTTGCTAGCTCCTTTTAAAATAACCTCCGGTTAATCTTTGAAAGTGTCCTTTATTTGTAGCACAATAAGATGCCCCGTACTCACCTTGTATCTTCCTACCCTGGACCTGGAATAAGACATTCTCTAAGGAATCCTTTTGGTGGTGGTGGTGGGGGGGGGGAGCATGTTATTGAAGACCATAGTATATTTGTTATAGGTGTTCATTACTTCTGGGATGACAGTTTTTTTTAGTTCATTTCAGTGAATAAACAAGAAAACTGATTTTTTTAAAGCCATGATATTTTCAATTCAATTTTAACATCTAGTGTTTTCTCTTAATTTTATTTTGAAAGTATACATGCCCTTATCTTATATTGAAAAGCTTTATTTTATAAACATAACTACTTATCTGTTCTATACTACAACATTAACATTGTTTGAAATATTAGTACCAATGAGAACAACCAATACCAATACAAATAACTGTTGAGGAAGTTGAGGGAGTTTACTATTTCTTTTTATTGACATATAAGTAATGAGACTGTCCTTTCACTTTTTTGTGTTTGTTAGCCAAAATTTCTGTTTAAAGCCTCAAAAGAGTTTTGAATTATAAAGTCAACAGTTGGTCTGGTCATTAAGTATGTGGGTGGCCCAAATGGGTAAGTGCTCAACTACTAGCCAAAAGTTTGGCAGTCAAACACACCTAGAGGCACCTTAGATGACAGATCTGGAGATCTGCTTCCAAAAGGTCTTAGTCCCAGAAAACCTTTGGAGCAGATTTATTCTGCATACATAGGATTGCCATGAGTCAGAATCAACTTGACAGCAACTAAAAACAACATGAGATCTCATCATTTGTGTGCTTGTGTGTGTGTGTGCGTGTGTATGTGATAAACATCCTGTCTTCCAAAAACCCACTGATTTCATATAGGAAACGTGTTATTTTGTATAATTCACAGCTCTCTCCCAATATGTTTTCCCAAATGATTGTCTCACTTACATGAAATCCTCCTTCATACATTACCATGCACAGTGAGCCTCCAAGAAATACTGAATTTCTAGCAGTATGTTAAGTGCTGATGGAGTCTCCAATTCTTTACCATGGAGGATGGCATAGCATAAAACAAAGGTTCTGGAATCAGACAGACCTGAGCTTGAGACAGGGTGCTGCTACTTACTAAGAGACACTGGACAAGTTTTTTAACCTTGCTAAGCTTCAGTTTCCTCATTTGTAAAAGAAGAAAGAAAAATAATACCTATTTTTTGGGTTATTTTCAAGATTAAAGGAGTAATATAAGTACTTAGTACATAATAAATACTTAAGTGTCAGCTGTTATTGTCAATTATTCCATGTTCCAACCATGAATATATAAAATGATGAACCATAAATACATGAGTGATGAAGTACTCTCTCCCCCTTCAGTAAAATACAATACTATATAAAACCAAAACCACTGCTATTGAGTAGATGCCAACTCATAGTGACCTGAAGGACAAAGTAGAACTGCCCCCCATAGGGTTCCAGGACCTCTGGTGACACAGGGCCTAAGGCATTTGACTGCTAACCAGAAGGCTGGCGGTTTAAACCCACCAGCTGCTCTGTGGAAGGAAGATGAGGCAATCTACTTCCATGAAGATGTATTGCCTTGAAAACCCAATGGGGCTTGCTATGAGTTGGAATCGACTACATGGCAGTGGGTTTAATTTGAGTTTTTTATAGGGTTTCCAAGGTTGTAAATCTTTATGGAAGCAGACTGCTTCATCTTTTTCCCACAGAGCAGCTGGTGATTTGAACCACTGACCTTAGCCATAAGTGTTCCTTTATGATGCTATATGGTCCCAATTATTTTTCTCTTTTAGGTTTGGAGTACCTTGTAGCAGGACATGAGGATGTAAGAACAGGCAAACTAGTCGTGAATATGAAAAGTTTTGTGCAGCACTGGAAACCATCTCTTGGAAGAAAAGTCATGGACATTTTAAAAAGAGAGTGCAAGTAGCAATAAAGGTATAGAGCACATAATGGCACTTCTCTATGTACAAAACACAAACATGATGGAAGGAGACTGCCAATTCTTCTCCTGCAGAGCAACTGGTGGTTTTCAAACCAGCAACCTTGCAGTTAGCAGCCAAGCACTTAACTACTGCACCACCAGGGCTCCTCTAATGGAAAGGAGCTCTCTCAAATGAAACTGGAATTTTTTTTTAAGTGCCAAAATGTACAGAAATGTTCCAACACATAGGCTTTGTCTAACCTAATCTCCCCTGGGTCCATGTTCAAACAGTTCTGTTTCATAAAGAAGAATAGAAAACCCTATGCTGATACTTGTTTTCTATGGGAGTGATTCTGAAATTCCTAACTATTAAGAATATTTGAATAGCAGCATGATATTTAGCTATAATCCATTTGAGAGCAATATATCAAATAAGGACTCCTCCCAGCTTCAGATATGTTCCTTACATCTGATGCTACTTACATTAATTATTGAGATTGCAAGGAATCCCAATTCTACTATCAGGAAAGGTGTTTCTTGAAAAGAAGCCTTCTCTTGTTTGTAACGTATGAACTTCGGTCTATAGAGTGTTATACAGAATCTCTCCACATGTGTATAGTATTTCCTTGTATAAAGCACTTTACTACCTACCACTTGTGTTGTGAAAGTTTGGAGATTGTCGTTGACAGAAAGAAAAAGAAGTATAAGAAAATCTACTGAAACAGAAGCACTGCCAGTACATGTGGACAAACATGACCATATAAAGGGAGTTATACTATTAAACTGAACACGAAGAAACTATGTGAAGATGCAACCTTAAAGGGAAATACATTTGCATGAAGTCTCAGCTCCAGGCTAGAGGTTAGAGTCCACAGATATTGGCCATAATAAAACTTAAAAAAGAAAAAACTAAACAAGAAAAGACTTTAAAATAAGAGAAAGGAATCATAAATGTAGAAATATGCTTGGATAAAGTGGAAAGTGGAAATGGACTTTTCAATTTTAAAAAGTTCATTTATTTTCAATGCACTTGTATACACTTCAAAAATAATTGTAGACACAGAATTTGTTTTATTTTTATGTTTAATATTTAAATCTCAACATCGAAACAGTTACATCAAAACAGTTTTCCTACTTGTCTTTAATAACAGTATATGGTCATTATATTTACCCCCCTTTTTTTTAACACAACGTATGTGATAGTTCACCAAATTACAGTTTTTTATTGTCCATCTTCTGTGCATAACCACTATACATACAGTTTCTTCTGTACTTGAATATACAAAACATGAACCACAGTGCCATAAGATTAACTTCACATACAGAACATATATTTCCTGAGGTCCTGTGGACTTGCAAAAAATATATATATATTGCTTTGTTGTTTTTATATTTCATATATGTAATAAACGAATATGATCTCCAAATTTTTGTCTCAATTCCTGATCAGTTCTTGCAAGATGAAAAATATTTCCTTCTCTTAATCAGGGAACTCAAATCTAATTCCTTGAATTAAGAAAATCAAATAAGGGCCTGCTATTTCTAATCTGCTGTTGTTTTCTAATCTGCTGTTGTTGTGTGCCATCGAGTTGGACTCATAGTGACCCCTCCTTGGGTTACCGAGGCAGTATCACTACGGAAGTAGATTGCCCAACCTTCCTTCTGAGGAGTGGTTTGATTCACCAGCCTTCTGGTTAGCAGTCAAGTGCCTTAGGCACTATGCTACCAGAGCTCCTTCTAATCTGCTACTCTGGGGTTTTAGAATGAAGTAGAAGCTGGGTCAGATGAGTTTAATTTCTGTAGCCTTTGGAAATGAACTTTTTTCATCAGGTGCATTGCAGTTTCTAAATTACATTTACTTTTTGAGAAGTATTACAAGTTCATTGTAGAAAACTACAAGAAAAAAAAATATAATGGAGGAAAAAAAAGAAACACTTATAATAAAACTATCCTGAGATAAGTTTAATGCCTATGTGTATGCATACCTTTTATAGAATTGGAGTTATATTATACATACTCTAATGAAACCTTTTTTCCCCTAGCAGGTCTCTCATACCTATGCCTATCTTGTCCTGGTAGGTGGAATGCCATCTGGTAGAGTATCATTTAGAAGCAACTTATAAAACATGTTGGTAGGTATATCATACCAAGAAAAATCATTTTTCAAACATCCTATATAGAATATTTTGAAGTTTCAGAATTGCCAGCTTGCTTTCTTTTCCATTTTACTTTATTGAAAATAAATTACTATTACTCATTAAAAGTAAAAATAATATCCATTTGAAAAAAGAATAGAAAGATGTCCATAATATATCATTAAATGGAAAAAATAAATTGCAGAACAATATATGTTATTAGTCCCATCCCCAAAACACATTTATATTATATCTGGTTTCTTAAAAGTCCTGAGAAATAGTCAGATTATGGCAGCATTTGCCCCATGGAGAAAAGAAGGAGGCAGATTTTCCCTTTTTATTTCATGTACAGCTGTATTGCTTGATTTTCTTTCAGTGATCATGTACTAATTTGTAACTTATTTTCAAACCAATTAAAATGCAATCAATTGTTTTTAAAGTATGTTCAGTAAAATCAAAACTAAAACTTTGATTTTATCTCATTTACCAAATTGTTGGCCCTTGATATGTCTTCCCAGTTCTCTTTGACTGGTATCTTCTTCCTTAGTTGGTCTTTCAAGGACGTTTTCTGTCAACCTTCTAAAAAATCGGTCACAGTTACAATAATCTCTTACTGTCTTGATCCTCAAATCACTTGCAGCCCTGCTACTGTGTTTTAAATGTCTTATGAGTATCATTTGGTTCCCAAGTAAAGGTGGGGGTAAAAGGAGTAGAAAGAAAAGAACAGAAAGAAATCTTGCATTTCCCACTTATAAAAGTAAACAAAAATAATGGGGTGTGCGCTGGCCTCTTCATGACCCTATTCCCGTTTCATTACACTGCCACACTTTTTCATGAACTTTCTCTTCCTTCGTATCTTTCAAAATAACCAACTCCGTACCAAGGCAACAGAGTCAAATAAAACTTCCATCTGTGGCTTCATATAAACCTGAACATGTATGTCTCTGCCCCCAGAGCTTTATTCCACTAACTGTTGGGCTTTATTAGGCAGATTAGTTGCATAATCTCCACATACCTATCTCTGTTATTTGCCTGAGGTCAACAGAGTCTTTACCCTCTTATTACATCATTCACTTTGTAAAGGAAAGTTACTAATATTTAGCATATGATGCAATGGAAACTCTCAGTAAGAGGATAATCTTTTAATAGTGTCCACTAATGAGGTCAGATCTGTGGGGATGTGACCATGAGTCCAAAAAGCAGTGTCCATCTGGCTGTATTAAACCGAGAGCAAGGCCTATTATGGGTAAACACAATTCTTTGGGACACACAGACACCCTGGGTCCTTGCAAAACAAATCCTTTTTGAAATGAAGGGAGACTTATCAACTGCAAAGGGTGGGAAAAAGAACCTTGAAAATTCCTTGTGCTGTCCCTTTGCCACTCCCCTGGAATGCCTGAGAACAAGAACTGTGAGCACTGCCTTTGCCACTGAGGAGTTTTGTCTGAGGCCCCAGCACTGAATTGCTTTTGTGTTCATTGTTTCAATGATAAGCAGTTCCCTAACCTAACTTTATCAAAGAGCCAAAGTTACTCACCACTTATTTCCCACAGCTTGGAAGGAAAATATTTATGAACAACCTCAATTTTGCAAGAGAGACTGGTATGATAAAAATGGACTAGAAGCAAAAGTGTGTGCCTTGTGTTACTTTTTTCTTTTTTTAAGTTTCAGAAAATGACTTGTCTGAGAATACTTTTTAAAAAAAATGATGTCCCTTGTCCCTCTTTTCCTCCCCTTTCACCAAAGGAATTTAAATATTTTTAATTTTTTGAGCATTACTGAATGTGCTTGAAACCTGTACTTTTTTAAAATTATAAATTCCCAGATTTATTATTAGCCAGTTCATACACGCTGAATAACTAAAAAAAATAGAATGTTAGTCATAAGAAAGAAAGAAATAGGCACTGGGCCAAAGAGATATTTATAAAATGTGCGATGTGTGTTCTGTTAAGAGAAGTCTCCTTTTGGTAAATGATAGACACATCTTTACTTTCTAAATATGCAGTCACAGGTAGGTGACCATGTTCCAAAGTTTGATCATTAGAAATAAGTTTTACTTTATAAACCCAAGAATATCAGTATTTATTCAGAATGATCAAATCATGGTTTATTCATTTGACCAAGGGGGATGGTAGCCAGGCAGGAAACCTGGCTTCCCAGTAAGAAAAATAACCACTATTAGCAAATTTTCACAGTATGAATTATATAGCCTGCTCAGAAATGCCCTGGACACCTCCTTCTCATCCAGGACACTACCAAGTGATTCAAACTTGGTGAATAAAAAAATAGAGATAATAACAATAATATCAAATAATTAATAATTTGCTACAAACTAGACACTTTACTAAGCACTTTACATGTGTTATTCTCATTTGATCTTCCTAACCACCCCTGAAGTGGGTGCTATTACTATTACCATTTCTTAGATGAGGAAACTGAGGCACAGAGAGTCTAACTAAATTGCCCAAGGACACCTAGCTAATGATGGTGGAGCCTTGTCTTGAACCAAGAATTCTGACTCTCAGAGCTCATAATTCAAGCACTAAAAGGAGATTCTGGCATTCAAAAAAGAGTTTATGTGAGGTGAGGCCAACTGTACCATTTTCTCCATGGACTGTCTTTTGGATCATAGTTGAGGAAAGAGCACTGAAGGCTGACATTTCTCCCAGTTTATTTTCCCCCCGTATTCCAAATGATAATGTATTCCATTATTCCACTCAGCAATTACATCCTTCTTCTACTATCTTTCTCATTGTTCCAAATCCTAGTGGATAATACAGTTTACAACAATGCATATCAAATGAAATGATAAAAAGTTCCTTTTTTACCTTTGTTTTTTTCCTGTCTGGTTTTCTAAGATCTTTTTGGGCA